ATGTTAGCTCAGGAATTCTGGGGGTTGAAGTCCCCAAGTCTTAAACTTGCCAAGTTTGGAGACCCTTGATGTAAGTGAATCACTCCAACCTAATCGCACAAGGTTGCAAAAGGGGATCGGGTGACCCTAGGGCCCTGCAGTCGTCGTAAATCTGAGTCAATTGCCACGCATATCTGAATGTCGCTTGGGGATGCTACAACGGTCATAAGTATGAAGAATGGTCGTCACTTTTTTCAGTGCTGTTCAAAGTAGTAACAGTTTGAACAGTCACTGAATGAACTGTTGTAAGTCGAGGACTACTTGTAGGCTTGCTCTTGGTTGATCTTTCAAAATCTGGAACTGGCTTGTCTCCCTGAGTCGCCGGGCGGGGGTGGGGTGGGGTGAATCTCCCAGTTCTAGCCCACGGAACCTAGTTCTCTGTGGGTCAGGGCAGGGCTGCGTTGCGCGCCATCTCCACTGTTACGAGGTACCTCCTCGGTCTCCTTGATGAAGTCAAAGCGTCGTTCCATGTCTGCGTACTTCTTCCAGTAGCCGTAGCAGTAGGGGTACCTCAGGAAGAAGTTATCGAAAGCCTTGCGGGCTGCGTAGATGTGGTTCTGCAAGAGCAGCAGAGAGAAGAGCTGGGGTGCTTTGGAGAGGGACACAGGAAAATACAAAACTCTGCACAAGCGCAAAGGCAGCACAGGAAACCAGGACTGACCAGAAGCCCCCCAATGGCCTCAGGCGAGCCGGTTCGGGTTTATTTAACACACATGAATTAAGCAAATTGTGGTTGAGCGTTACTGGTAGTCCTTGTTTAAGGATTCTTGTCTAACTTATGATACTTGACTCTTGACTCTTTTATGTATACTCTGAGAGCATTTGCACCAAGACAAATTCCTTGTGTGTCCAATCACACTTGGCCAGTAAGGAATTCTATTCTGTGCTATTCTATTCTTTATTCTATTCCGTTCCATTCCATTCCAAGATGGACCACAGACTCCATTCATTGATGTGGTCCTAATTGGAGAAATTAGGTCAATGCTTCACTCAGTATAGTGGCCGTGCCAGCAGACCTTGCTGCATTCAGGACCATCACTTCCCGCTGGCTTCCCCGCTGACTTTGCTGGAAGCTGCCAGGGAAGGTCAGGATCCCGTTGCCTGTAGGACCAGCCACTAACTATGAGATCTGATCGCAACTCCCGCTTGTTTGGTGCCTGTCAGGCCCAAGCACAAAAATGACACAGGGAAATCCTATTTCTTTATTTATTCTTTATTTGCTTAACCCAATGGGCAGAATCTCGCCCGATTAAAGGTATAACCTTCTCATCTAACCCATTAGGTGTATCCCGAGACATTCTAAAATGTAGCTACCTTGAATCCCCGTCTCCCACCCAGAACAATAGAGCTGAAAGGGACCTTCTCATCTAACTCCATCCTCAAGCAGGAGACCGGATACCATTTCAAATATTTCCTTAAAATTCCCCCATGATAAAGCACCCACAACTTCTGGAGGCCAGTTGTTCCACTGGTTCATTGTTCTCACTGTTAAGAAATTTCTCCCTAGTGTTAGGTTGCTTCTCTCCTTGATTAGTTTTCACCCACTGCTTACTGTCTTTCCCTCTATTGCTTTGGAGAATAGGTGGAGCCCCTCAGGTATTGGAAGACGGCTATCATGTCCCCCCCGCTATCCTTCTTTTCACTCGACATACCCAATTCCTGCAACCTTCTTCATACATTTTAGCCTCCAGCCCCCTGATCATCTTTCTTGCTCTTCTCTACAACTCCAGTCTAGGATTATGGAGTCTTTTATTCTAGGTTTCTCTTTGGGATGTACTATCTCCTCCCTGGGAAGCTGCAGTGCGATAGTAGACGTTCCCTCCCTCCACCTCTTCTCCAGCCTCCCATTCGGTTGCACAATTTGACCTAGTGTGATCATCAACTAAGCCAGGGTTATCTTCCACCATGGTTGGCGGAATACTCTAAGCCATGGCTGGGCTGATGCATCTCGCTAAGCCCCAACCATCAGTTAATGGTTGTCCCAAAGGTGCTTTTCCAAGAGGCAACTGGACTTTCTGATTTTATTTTATTTTGAAGACGTTTCACTCCTCATCCAAGAAGCTTCTTCAGCTCTGATTGGGTGGTGGGGAATGGAAGGATTTATACTCCTTGCAGACAGCTGGACATTTCAGAGTGGTTGAGGCCACTTGGAGGTTTCTCTGTATCCTCAGATAAATCTGTGTCCTCACATAAATGGGTCCTTCCACATCCATTTGCACTACTCGGGTGACCCTGAGGGTGACACAGATAAACCTCCAAGTGGCCTCAATGACCCTATGAAAGGATGCAAATGACCAGCTGTCCGCGAGGAATATAAATCCTTCCCTTCCCCACCATCCAGTCAGAGGCTTTTGGATGAGAAGCGAAACCTCTTCAAAGAAAAAGCAGAAAGTCCAGTTGCCCCTTGAAAAAAGCACTTTTGGAACAACCAGGACCTGGATGATGGAGAATCTCCACAGACAATATCAGTTCGTAGCTTTGGACGCTTGTGGTTTCTTCCTACCTCCTGTTCCACGTATTGCAACAATTCGGTCCATGCGGTGAAGTCCAGGGGGTTCTCTTGAGTGGCTCTCCAGTAGCGCTCAAACTCCAGAGGGTAGGTGATGGACAGGTCCTCCATGGGCTGGCTCAAGGCCATCATCATCCCCACTTCCGAAGCAAGGGGCTGCAGGGTTTCCTCTCTGGCTGGCTCGGCCTGCAGGGCCGTCGTGTTGTCTTCCAGGCTCTCCCCATTGATGATCTCTTGCACGGGCTTGGCCTCTTCTGGCTTGGGAGGGCCATTACTCTCCTGATTCAGGAGCCCCTCTTTGTCAGTGCCTGCAGATCAGGGGAGACGTTAAAAAGTTTCCTGGTATTCATTTTCATTTACTTGTGGGTTTGTTCTGCCTTCCTGGCTCCCCACCCCCCCCGTTGAGGATAGCTATCTATAGAGATCCAAGTCGTCCTCCACTTAGGACTACAATATCAGCCTAGAATTTATGTTGCGGAGAAATTTGTTTTGCTCCATTTCACAACTTTTCTTGCCATGTTTTCAAACTCTGATCTTAACCACCAACGTTCACTCTAAATGAGGTTAGGTAACAATAGGTATAATAATATTTCAAAAAAAAACAAAACCCTTTTCTGATTTTTTTTTTTAATCTAGTATAATTTTTAGTAGGGCCAATTTTGTTGGGTTTTTTTTTTTAAAGAAAAACCCTTCCTACCCATCATCTCTCATCCTCTTGGAAGTGTTACGTCTTCTCGTTTTGACTTGCCTCCCATACTCTTCCTCCCTCACCCCCCACGACAACCTAAGGAGGCCCCCTTGGCAGCTGAAGCCACGCAGGGTCGGGATTCAAGACAAGCGGAGTCAAGAGAGCCTCCCTGTCCAGGAGCTACCTACCTTGCACCGAAGTTCGGGAAGTCCCGCTTTCCCCGCTAAAACTGGAGCCGGATCGGGACCCTTCAGTCTCCTCAGAGACCCCAAGGACCCCGCTCCCACTCCTTCCCCCCCCATCCTCCCTCCGGTATCCCGGCAGCGGCGGCGCCCCCACCCGCCCCAGATGTCCCTCTCACCGGCTTCCGCCCCCGGGAGCTCTTGGACGCCTTCCGCCTCGCCTCCGCCGAGGATGGCCGGCGCCTCCGCCGCTGCCTCCGCCATCTTCGCCGCAGCCGCCCGAGCGCGCCACCCTCCCTCACGGATCCTCGTCGCGGGTCCGGTGAGGTCGCACTGCGCCTGCGCGACCGTAATGACCCGGATATGCCGGCCAGGAAGATGTCCTCCTTGGCGAATGGGCGGGAAGCTTAGGGCAGCTGCCATAGAGAAGGAAAGGGTAGAAAGGTAGGTTTCTGGAGGAAAAACCATAGAGAGGAATGCAAGAACGGGCGCTCTACTATCTGTCTCTCTGTCGGTCATTCAGAATCGTTAAAAAGTTAAATTCCAACTGTTTGTATTTCGTTGCTTCCTCGGCCCCATGGAAGTAAACGCCTTAGAAAGGCTCTCCTTAGAAGGCCATTGAGAAATGTAGGGTTTTAAGAGCAGATGCTCTAAATTGAATTTAATTGAATTAAATCATTTTTAAAAAATATGCATAAGGAAAACTGCTCAGAGTCGTTGAAAATGGGGCAGCATATAAATGTAATAAATTATTTGGTCCAAAGTTGCATTGAATCAAGCAGGTATTCTGTATTCTTGGAGGAATGGGGAGCATGTTAGCAAGATAAGAGAGACAGAAGGAATGTGTGCTAATTGGAGCAAGCTTGAAACATAGATTGTCTCTGTTTTATCTACATTTATAAGGCAACATAACTCTGGCTATTTAAGGTGCTCAGACACACTTAACAGAACAGAATAACAGTTGGAAGGGACCTTTGTAGTCCAACCCGCCCCTCACATCCAAGCAGGAAACACTGGCCTACACCATTTCTTGCAGACCTTTTTATTTTATTTACTTGTTTGTTTTATTGCAGACCTTTGCTATATTCATTTTCACCTTGCAGCAATCAATTCCAGAGGAAAGTAATGGAGAATATTTGGCGCCGAGTCAAGGCAACATTTAAACCAGGAGTCTTCAAAACTTGACAGGTTTAAGACTTGTGGACTTCAACTCCCAGAATTCTTGAACTAACAAGACTGGAGAAGGAGGAATTCTGGGAGTCCACAAGTCTTAAACCTGTCAAGTTTGAAGACTTCTGGTTTAAGCCAATGTTTAAATTTAGGCGTCTCCAAAGTTGCACCTTCACGACTTGTGGACTTCGATTCCCAGAATTTCCCCTGGCTTGCTGGGGAATTCTGAAAGTCCACAAATCTTAAAGTTGCCAAGTTTGAAGGCTCTACTTTAAACCAAGGAAAGCAGAAACTGACCTTCTAGGAGAGAGAATCTCTCTCTTTTTTTAAGTCTCTATGCTCTCGCGCTCCCCCGCCCTCCCGTCACTGCAGAGCTCCGCCTCTCAACAGTGACGTAACAACTTCATCGCCTTCGGCTTTTTCCTCCTCCTCCCTACTTGCTTTACGGCCGTTTTGGGCGACGCTCCTCCTTTTCCTCTCCTCGCTAAGATGGCGGTGGCCGGGGTGAGCTTGCGGTTCCCGTCGAGGCCTAGAGTTCATCCGCCTGCATCCGGCTACCGGGAGGGCTGGGGCGGCCCCGGAGTCCGGGGCTGGGAAGGGACGAAGGAGGGCCTTGCAGCGGGGAGTCTCGCCGGGGATGGAGGAGGCCAAGCGGGCGGGCAGAACCCGAAAGGGGGAGTGTCAGGCTGCTCCTCTCTTCCCTTGCCACGCGCGTGAGGGGTTTAAAGGGACCCGAACGGCCAAGACTACAACTCCCATACGCCCGGGCCTAAATGCCATGCCACATAGGAGCGGTAATCCGAGCTGTCTAGACGGAGTTTCTCAACATGGTCGACTTCGAAGAGTCAACTTCCACTCCCAGAGTTCCCCAGCGAGCTGTGCCCTATGCGGAGCCATGCTATGTACTGGCTGGGGAACTCTGGGAGCTGAAGTCCGCCCCTCTTACAAGTCGACCAGGTTATGAAACACGGGTTTAGTGTGTTGTGTGTGGATGAGGGGGTTGAGTAACTTTTGCTGTGCCACGTGGGAGGAAGGCAAACCAGCATTTTGCCGTCTTTCTTGAATTGGCTTCAGAGGAAAGACCCCCCAATCGAGCCAAATGGGGCGTGGAGAGACCCCTTTTGTGGGGTGGGAGAGAACCTGCCTGCCGATATAGTGATGGTGGCGGCGAGGGCGTCTGAATGGAGCCTCCAATTTTAGAGGCAGTTGTCTCTGGCACCTGGGGACGAAGAACAGGAATGGGCGGTTTCCTAGCCTTTGGGCCATCCCAGAAGTGAATGGGCAAGGATGATGGGTTGTAGCATCTCTGAATTTGGCGTTTGGATGCTTTGGCAGCAACTTGAGATAGATGCCAGTGGCTGGATCCAACACTGGTTTCCTTGTCTTCCAGTGGAGATGTTTTCATATGTTGAGAATTTGCTGGATTTTAGGAGGGTGGGCTCCAGTGGGCCATGCACATTTTTTATTTTTTAATATTTACAGTAATTCCATCTTTCATTCATACAGTATGTGGACTGGGTACATATGTCTTCTGCTAACAGTTGTAACTAATATATTTTCTTGGGTGGGCCATGCTGTTGAGCAGAAGGTGAGATGAAGGTGTGATGGCCTTGGATTTGCACCCAAGTTGGCTTGGAGAGCCAGGCTTTGGAGTGGAAGCTCTAGATTTTAGGAGACTCCCAAGAGCAGGAGAAGGAGCAGTGGATAGAAGCTTAGGAAGGAGAGAAGCAACCTAGAAGAGTTAAGGAGAAATTTCCTGGCAGTGCGAACAATTAACCCCGTGGCACAGCTTCCTTCCAGAAGTTGTGGTGCTCCATCACTGGAGGTTTTTAAGAAGAGACTGGGCAGCCACTTGTCCAGAATGGTACAGGTTCTCCTGCTTGGGTGGGGGGGTTGGACTGTATTGAAGACCTCCCCTTCCAAATCTGCTGTTGTCTTATATTCTGAGATGAGGTGGTGATGGTGTGGGAAGGTGGCCCGATATTTGCACTCAGAAATGTTTAGGTAGATCTTTCCAGGCAGAATATCAAGGCACGATTGTGTGGTCCCAAGTGAAGATTCCTGGGCATTTTAACGGGTTCTAGAGCAAGGAAGAGAAGGGCCTGCTAGATGGTGGTTGTGGTTCTGGAGAATGGAGCGTGTAGATCTCAGGCCAGTGGAGAAGTTAGGAGATTATGGATCAATATTACATTAAATTTATTGGATCCTTTTTTATTAGTTTTATTGTTTTTAAATGATGTTTTATATTCCGTAAGCCACCTTGAAGTCGCCGTAGGCGGCAATATAAATCCCATCAATAAATGGGCCTCCTGCTGATGTGGCATTGTGGTGGTGCCCAGTCTGCTTTGCAGTAGCAAAGTCCTCTAGCCACCACGACTGCAGAGTCACCTGCCAAGAGGTTGAAACTATCCATTGAACAGATCAATGCACAGAGCTCGGCTTACGGCGCTTGGCTGGAAATAGATGTTCATGCTCGGAAAAGGCTATCTAGTGCGTATGATTAAGTCATGGCTTCGCTTCTCAGGGTGTACCCCTTAACCCCCTTGCTGCTTGCTCCCCCTTGCAGACTCTCTACACTTACCCCGAGAACTGGCGGGCATTCAAAGCCCTCATTGCTGCTCAATACAGCGGGGCCAAGATCAAAGTCCTCTCCACGCCGCCCCAGTTCCACTTCGGGCAGACCAACAAGACTCCTGAATTTCTGAAAAAATTCCCAGTTGGAAAGGTGAGCAGCCTTTTTTTTTTTTCCTTGTCTAACTCAAGTTATGCCATGGAGTTCCAGCTCTGGGATTTATTTTTTTTATTTTTTTTGGAGAATGGAGAATAGAAGATGTCTGCAATCTTACGGGGTGATTTTGATTCTTGCTAGTTTCCAGGAGACTAGTTAGCTAGAGCTGTGAACATTCGTTCATTCATTCATTTGTATCCCACCTTTATCTTCTCCTTTCTATATATATAAAAGTAAAATGCCATTCACGCATCATCACAAAATCTCCAGAACTGTAAAGCCTACCAACTTGAAATTTGGCACGTAGGTTCCTCTTGGCTTCTATGGGCTCACTAAGAAAGGATTTTTCGAAATGTCCACCAGAGCATTTAGAGTATTTCCTATATTATTATTATTAACACGCTCTGATGCTAAGGAGTTCTACTCCCCCTCTCCACCTGAAAAGAAATCTGCTCCAAATACAAAACACAAGCAGAGGAGAGGAATTTCGGTTTCACAACACCAAGCAGCTTTAATACAGAACAGTTGAGCTAAGCCACACCCAGGCTCCTTGCTGTCTCCTTGCTCACACAGCAAATACTCTTTCATTTTCCAAACAGCCCTCAACTCACACACTTGATAGGATGCTAGCCAGATGAATACTGATGGATGCTGGTAGGCAGGGGCAGAATTTTTCTTCTCCCTTATTTACCTCCCCCAAAACTAAGCCCGACCAGCGAAGCACCGCTATAGAGCTAGTTTTACAAATAACTCAAGGTGGGAAACATGTCTGTCACACCTTTCTACTCCTATTTTCCCCACAATAACCTATCTTACGAGATAGGTTGGGCTGAGAGAGTGATTGGCTTTCCTGGATAAGGTGGCATTTGAATCCAAGTCTCCTGCTTTCTACCCTGGCACTTCAACCACTAGACCAAACTGCCTGGGGCTTGGTTCAAAAAAAAAAAAAAAAAAAAGGCAGGACCAGGAGCAGCCTCACACTATGTGAGATGTGATGATCCCTGTATCCAGCGGACTCTGTGCATCTTCAGAACAAGGCGGAGGTTCCTTTTTGGGGTATTCCTCCTCTTACATGAGTGAGTGAGTGCAGCTTTGATATTTTCCTGTCGGTTTTGATGAGTCAATTCTGCATTCTCCAGTATTCTTAACATTGCCACGGTTGAGAAATGTTCCTCCAGATTTACAACAATAGCTGTTTCCTGTCGGCATTATTGCTTCCTGAGGATGGTGGGAAATTAAGTCCTAGCTCCCTAGATTTTGTTTAAATACCATAAAAACCTTTATGATAATAAGATCTGCACAACTGTACAGTACCTGTTGGGTTGCAGGTTATCCATCTCTAGAGATTTGTAAGAAGAGGCATCTTGTCATAGTTTAAATCGACCTTTCTGAATCTCAGCCGACGGTTCAGGGGGAATTCTGGGAGTTGAAGTCCTAAGAGCCTTAAAATTCCTGAGGCTGAGAAACGGGGCTGCACAGGGCACCCACTGACCCCTTTGGAGGAGAGCTCCCCGCCTGTCTTCTCAGAGAGGCTCTTTTTCTCCCCCCTCGGTAGGTTCCGGCCTTCGAAGGAGAAGATGGATTTTGCATATTCGAGAGCAATGCCATCGCACACTACGGTAAATCTATGCGCTTGTCCGTTTTTCATCCAAAATCTTGGGGATTCCGTGTTGGGTCAGGTTTACAGGAAACTGCCTTAAAACTAAAGTTGCCACTGTAAGGTAGTCCTCTACTTACAACAGTTCACTTAGTAACATTCACACTGAAAAAAGGGACTTTACAACCATTTTTAACATGTATGGCCATTGCAGCATCTGTGATTTACATTCGGATGTTTCGCAGCTGACTCGAATGACAGTTGGAGTGTCCCAGGGTCATTTTATTCCCTTTTGCAACCTTCTGACCAGCCAAGTCAGTGGGGAAACCAGATTCACTTCGCAATTGTGTTCAGGGGTGGGATTCTACCGGTTTGGGTGAACCCCTTGCTCCGAAGATCAGCTGGGTATTTCCTTTTTCTTTTCCCCCCACCGATCAGCTGTTTTCCGAAGATCAGCTGGGCGGCGGGATTTAGATTAGCTAGAAAGCAGGAAATCGCTGGGTTTCTTGCTTTCTAGCTAATCTAAATCACACGGCACAGCTGGATTCCCCCTCCCCCTGCTGTTGTACTGCTTCACCCAGGAGGCCAAAAAACCAACAACCCCGGCCCACCCAGTTACATGCCCACCTAGCCACGCCCACCGAACCGGTAGTTAAAAAGTTTGCATCCCACCCCTGATTGTGTTCCTCGCTTAATAACCTGGGTGATTCCTTTAACAACTCTGGCAAGGAAGGTGATAAAATGGGGGCAAAACTGGCACGTTTCTCACTTAGCAACATAAATTTGGGGCTCAGTTGTGGCTGTAAGTCGAGGATTACCTCGATTATTTTTGATCACTGGTTCTCTAACTGCCTCTAACTTTTCCTTCCTCTCTCAGTCAGCAACGAGGAACTACGAGGCACAACTCAAGAGGCCGCTTCCCAGGTCCTTCAGTGGGTGAGCTTTGCTGACAGCGACATTGTGCCCCCAGCCAGTACCTGGGTCTTCCCCACACTTGGCATCATGCAATATAACAAGCAGGTAAGGAGCCCTCCGGTTTTAGAGAAGAAGAGATTTCCCAGCCATCTAAAAAGCTAGAAGGGAGCAGAAATCACTTTGCTTGGAGAGGTGCCTTATTGTTCTGACCCAGCTCCCCAAACACGACAAACCCCCCCCCCCCCCCGGGAACTCAAAAAAGGCATTTATTGGGAGCCCTGGCAGCCCTGGCAAAAAGTTTCTCTCTCAACGCCGGCTAACAAGTCCATCCGGCAGGGAGAGGAATAGTTGTCTGCCACACCTGCCTTTGATCCCCAGAGCGAGGGTGGGGCTGCGCTAGCAGCGGTGGCTCTTCCGTCCTAAGGACCAGCCCATGGATTTCCACTCCTCTCCTCTGCCTTCTGTGCATCAGGCACCGGACCCAGCTGTTCCTTCTCTTCCTCATCAGCCACCTCCAGACCTGGGGGGCTGTTGACTCTCCATCTGAGGGCGGATGGATGGCCCGGGCTCCGCCTCCGTCTCTCTCTCTCTCTCTGCCAGCTCCATTCCCTCTTCTCCCTTGGAGCTCACACAATCCCCTGTTTGCAAGCAAAGTCCATGGGGAATGCAGATTCCCTTAAGAATTGTGGCAATTGTGTAAAACGGGGCAAAACTCACTTAACAATTGTCTCCAGTTAGCAACAGAAGTGTGCTTGCTTGTTGTGACTCAAAGACTTCCTATACTTGAAAACGGAAGTTCATTATATTTTTGTACTGTTTCAATCTATTCAACTGACTTCGTTTCTGGCTTTTGACAGCCTCTGGATTTCTCCTTTGCCTCCCATCCCCCCTAAATCCTTAGGCTGTCCACTTACTTTTTTTTTTTTTATCCCTCTGCAGGCTACAGAGTATGCCAAGGAGGAAGTGAAGCGGATCTTGAGCCTGCTTGATTCTCACCTGAAGACCCGCACGTTTCTGGTCGGGGAGCGTATCACGCTGGCAGACATCACAGTGGTCTGCACTCTGCTCTGGCTTTACAAGCAGGTGAGTCTCTGTAGGTGGCCGAGGGGGTCCTGGTGGGTGGGGTGGGAGAAGAGGCCTGCTGAGGAGCCTAGGAATGTTGGACGAAAATAAGAGCCGGAAAAGGCATTTTCTCCCCTGTGAGGAATCGGCCTCTGAGGACAGGAGGCTTGTCAGATCGTCTGGACGATAGGCAGGGCCTGCCTTAAATCAGCTCTTGCCAAAGTATCAAACAACTGAGTGGAAAACTGCTGGTGACCTTCTACCACCGCACCAGAGAGAGTATCTTAACTTACCGCACCTCTGTATGGTTTGCCAATTGCACGGGGGCAGATAGGACAGCCCTCCAGAAGGTTAACATCATTGCCCCTCAGAGGATCATGGGTTCCTCTCTCCCCTCTTTGGAAGAGCTTTATGGCTCCCTCTGCCTTAAGAAAGTTCAAAGCATTCTCAAGATCCATCTCATCCTGGGCTTTTTCTTTTTCTGGGTATAATGGGCTTTTTCTTTAAATCAGAACCTGTTAGCTTCCTGCAACAAATCCATTGCAGATCTTAAGACCTCAGGATTCTCTTTACAACTGCCACGTTTGCTTTACGCTTGCAAAATTGTATAAGTTTGTGTGAACGAGTGAGAGAGAGGATTGCATGGTGACCCTCTTAACAACTGACATGATTTAGGATCATAATTCTGGGCTCGATCCCTGTCGTAAATTGATGACAACCAGGAATCAAAAGTTACGGGACGGGTTCATGATGCCTCGTTTTTCCCTTTTGTCTAGTCCAGAGGTCCCCAAACTTGGCTACTTTTAAGACTTGTGGACTTCAGCATAGCTGGCTTGAGAATTCTGGGAGTTGAAGTCCACAAGGCTTAAAGTGGCTAAGTTTGGGGACCTCTGGTCTCGTCCACATTGAAAGAAACAGATTGTGTGTCGCTTGAACTGAAATTTTTCCCACCTTTTCACCTTTTTTCCAGGTGCTGGAGCCCTCCTTCCGCCAGCCGTATGAAAATGTGAACCGTTGGTTTGTGACCTGCGTAAACCAGCCCCAGTTCAAGGCCATCCTGGGGGACTTGAAGCTGTGTGAGAAGATGGCACAGTTTGACGGTCAGGAAATTTATTCCCCCCCCCCCCCCCCCCGATTCTCTCTTAAATGGCCCTTCTGTCTTGGAAAATGGGAGGCGGGATGCGTCGCGAGCAGCTTACATCACTCCTGGACTTAGTGTAGCTTAATCTCTTCCCATTAATTCCATGTTTTTTCTTAGTAACAAACACGAAAACACAAAAAGAGAGCTAGAATAGAATATAGAATAGAATAGAGCTGGAAGGGACCTTGGAGGTCTTCTAGTCCAGCCCCCTGCTCAAGCAGGAAATCCTATTCTACTCATATACAAATCCATTACACAGAACTGATTTTTCGTCCCTTATAGCAGTAGTCCCCAACTTTTCATACTTTGAGAACCGGCCGGTGGGGTGGGGGGGAGAGAGAGGAAATAGAATAGAATAGAATAAATATTGGAAGGAATAGAATCGAAGCAAAGCAAAGCCTTAGAAGGGACTTGGTAGGTCTTCTAGTATCAGGAGTCCAGCAGCTGCCCTAATTAAGTAATGATTCTTGACCCAAACTTCAAAAAGCTTCAAAGGATTCATGAGAGGCTACCTACTGGCCCTGCCCTGTAAGAAGCCAACTCTGGCCTATATCATTTCCAGTCCCCTGTGACCCTGTTTCCCCCCTCCATCCCCCCTGGGTGTCTCATAAACCAGATTCTCCAATTAAGCCCCTTCACGGGCCGGGTCCCATCAATCACGTTCTCCGATTAAATATATTCAGGGCAAAAGCTCTGGTAGTTTAGTTACAGCCTTTTAAAGAGAAGAGTTGGAATGTACTTCCGCTTCCAAACTGCTGCACGGCTCTTCCAGATTTACTCCCCCCCCCCCTTTTTTTTTTTTATGGCAACCACTGAAACAGGCATATAGGACTGTTTTATGAGTTGACCTGGAGCTTCACCCATGAGGGGGTGCCCACTGCTTGCGCAAATAAGAGTTGCAGGTGCGCGCATGCCTGCCAACTCCAAATGGGCTCCAGGAGTTTGGGACCCCTCCTTTAAAAGTAGTTCTCGACGTAACAAGAGTTCATTTAGTGACTATGAGTGTTCAGGGTTACAATGGCACTGAAAAAACGTGACTTGGGGCTGGTTTTTGCCCTTAACGACCATTGTAGCATTCCCAGGGTCATGTGATAAAAATTCAGGTGCTTGGCAACTGACTCGTATTTATGACGGTTGCAGTGTTCCGGATCACGTGGTCATTCTTTTGCAATCTTTTGACAAAGTCAACAGGGAAGCCAGGTTCACTTAACAACCGTGTTAGTAACTTAACTGCAATGATTCACTTAACGACTGGCAAGAAAAGGTTGTAAAATGGGGCAAAGCTCAGCTAACGGACATCTCACTTAGCAATGGAAATTTTGAGCTCAGTTGTGATCGTAAGTCGAGGACTACCGGTATCGAAAGCCCGCCAATCTTAGGAAAATAGAAGTAAGAAGAGATTGGACTGCCCTTTGTCAGAAATGGTGTGGGGTCTCCTGCTTGGTCAGGGGGTTGGTCTAGATGACCTACGAGGTCTCTTCCAACTCTGTTAATCTGTTACCTGCTTAGCCTGCGGAAGAAATAGTGTGCATTTTACTGTCCCCGTCTGTCTGTGGCTCTGCAACTTCCAGGACTAAAATTAGAACACGAAGTAGAGAAGGGGTCGTATTTCATGTTCACTGCTTGCTGGGGAGTGGGCTGGTTCAAAAATTGGGGGCCTTTTAAGCATTTTCTGAGGGGCACTTTATATGGTTCAACCTGTAGCACGCCTCGAGCCCCTCCACCCTATTTTTGAAAACGTTGCCTGCTTTTTTCTGCAAATTCAGCTCCGTGATTAAATACCCCCACTCCATAGCTTAGTTGGTGAAGATGTTTCATATCTAGAAGTCTTTTCCTTCCCTTGGAGATCTTGTGAATTAAGCTGCTCGAATGAACGTTGGCAGATGACATTTATTTATTTTGGTAAATTTATTTGCTGCCCATCTCGTCGTGGGGCTGCTATAGGCATCTTAACAGCAATAAAAAGGAAGGAGCGAAAAGAGTATAAGCAGAACAGAAATTAAATAATAGAACAATAAAATAAACAATAAAAAAGATCTCAAGGATACAGCAGTATGATAACAAGAAGATGTGGGTTTATTAAAGCTCCATGCTTAAGCAGTGGGGGAGGTCTGTATGAGATTTCTAAAATCTATAGGTAGGTAGGTATAGATAGACAGACAGACAGACAGAGATATATAGCTATATAATAGACATAAATATATATATAGCAGTATAGTGGCCAGTTTGTGGTTGTAGCTTAAGACAGGCAAGCTAGAACCCAGAAAATCGGAATGGGATTCTACCGCTGCCTTAGGCACAAAGCCTGGGTAGGGCTAGTCCATCTCTTAGCCCCAGAAAGGAAGCAATGACAATCCACTTCTGAAAATGTTGGGGTTTCTTAGTAAGGCCATACCTCGAGTCCTGCATCCAGTGCTTGGTCACCACACTGTAACAAAGATATTGAGACGCTAGAAAGAGTGCAGAGAAGAGCAAGCAGGATGATGAGGGGACTGGAGGCTCAGGCGTACGATGAACCAGGCCTGGCTATTCTAGTGAAGAGAAGGACCAGGGGAGACAGGAAAACAGTCTTCCAATATTTGAGGGGCTGCCCCAGAGAGGAGAAAGGTGGGGTCAAGCTATTTTCCAAAGCACCTGAAGGCCAGACAAGGAAGAATGGATGGAAACTGAACAAGGAGAGATTCAACCTGGAAATAAGGAGGAATTTCCTGACAGAACAATCAGCCAAAAGGGACAGAGGTTGCATTCGGAAGTTGTGGGAGTTTCATCCCTGGAAGCTTTCAAGAAGAGATTGGGCTGCCATTTGTCAGAAATGGTGTAGGGTCACCTGCTTGGGCAGGGGGTTGGACTAGATGACCTACAAGGTCCTTTCCAGCTTTATTATTCTGTTTTCAGAAGTTGTGAGAGCTTCATCCCTGGAGGCTTTCAAGAAGAGACCGGCCTGCCCTCTGTCAGAAATGGTGTAGGGTCACCTGGTTGGGTGGGGGGTTGGACTAGATGACCTCCAAGGTCCCTCCCAACGCTGTTAATCTGTTATTTTATCTTGGGAGTTGAAGTCCACCCGTCTCAAAAGGACCAAGGTTGGGAAACGCTGCTTTAGCTCTCCAAGAGGCTAGAAATGGACAATTCGGCACCGAAACCCTGAATCCTGTTCCTTTTCCCTTTTCCTCCTTGCGGTTTTGCAGCCAAGAAGTTTGCAGAGAACCAACCTAAGAAGGAATCCTCCAAGAAGGAGAAAACGCCGAAGGAGGAGAAGAAAGCAGAGAAGAAGGAGGTGAAGCCGGAGCCAGAAGAGGAGTTGGACGAGTGTGAGCAGGCCTTGGCAGCCGAGCCCAAATCCAAAGATCCTTTTGCTCATCTCGCCAAAAGGTAAGGGACACCCCCCACACACACCCCCACACACACCCAGTGGGTTGGAGGAGGGGCGCTGCAGGGTCCGAAAAGAACGGGGTGACTCCCACTTGGGGGGTTCAGGACAACCTGGAGAATATCCCACAGTGCTCTTCAGTCAAATGTGGAAGCAACCAGGAAGTCAGGAGTGAATTTGGGAAAGAAATAGTTCCATCATAATTTTAGGCATATCTCACCATATGTCCAATCTAGGAAATTCCCTTTTTTTTTCCTACACAATTCCATATTTACAGGCAGTCCTCGACTCACGAACCACCACTGACCCCAAAGTTTCCATTGCTAAACAAGTCAGCTAAGTGAGTTTTTATGACCTTTCTGGCCATAGCCTGAAGTGAATCACGGCAGTTACAAAGTTACTAGCGCGGTTGTTAAGTGATTCGGGTCCCCCGTTGATTTGGCCGGTCAGAAGTTTGCAAAGTGGGATCATGTGACCCTGGGACAATGCAGCTGCCACCAATACAAGCCAGTGGCCAGATTTTGACCACGGGCTGCAAAGGTTGTAAGTGTAAAAAACACAAGTCACTTTTTTCAGTATTGTAACTTTGAACAGTCAATGAACAAAAGATTACACAGGCAATCCACCATTGAGCCGCAAACTTCTGTTGCTAAGGGAGACCGTTAAGTGAGTTTTGGCCCATGTTATGACCTTTCTTGCCACGATTCTTCCTGCAAATCACGGCAGCTGTTAAGTTAGCAACCCGGTTGTTAAGTGAATCAGGCCAGTTGTGAAGTCAGTAAGTGAATCCGGCTCTCCCATTGACTTGGCTTGTCAGAAAGCTGCCAACGGTAACCCTCTGGGACACTACAACCATCGTAAGTATGAATCTCTTGTCAGGCTTATGAATTGTGATCACGGGGATGGTGCAATGGTCGTAACCAAAAAAAACCCCCAAAGCACACATCTAGACTGGGTGAAACCAGGCTCAATAGCAGGAACTGAGAGAGGGATCTTGGAGTCTTAGGGGACAACCAGCTAAATAGGAGCCAGCCGTGTGCAGCAGCAGCCAAAAAAGCTCATGCAATCCTAAGTTGTATTAACAGAGGGATACAGTCAAGATCAAGGGAGGTACTAATCACACCCTATAAAGCCTTAGTAAGGCCACACCTAGGGTACTGCATCCAGTTTTGGTCACCACAGTATAAAAAAGAGGTTGAGACTCTAGAAAAAGTACAGAGTAGAGCAACCAGGATGATGAGGGGACTGGAGGCTAAAACACATGAAGAACGGTTGCAGGAACTGGGCCTGGCTGGTCTAGGGAAGAGAAGGACCAGGGGGGACAGGATAGCAGCCTTCCAATATCCCGGGGGGGGGGGGGGGGGGGGGCTGCCACAGACAGGAGGAGGGTCAATTTATTCTCCAAAACACCTGAAGGCCAGACAAGGAACAGTGGGTGGAAACTGACCAAGGAAGAGATTCAACCTGGAAATAAGGAGAAACTCTCTGACAGGGAGAACAATCAACCCATGGAAGAGAAGTTGCCCTCGGAAGTCGCGGGAGCGCCATCACTTGAGACTTCCAAGAAGAGATTGAACTGCCCTCTGTCAGAAATGGTGTAGGGTCTCTCGCTTGGACTAGATGACCTATAAGGTCGCTTCCAACTCTGATTATCTGTAAGTGTGAAAAATGGTCATAACTCCCTTTTTTCAGTGCTGTTGCAACTTCGAAAAGTCCCTAAACAAATTATTGTAAGTTAAGGAAGTGCTCCTTCTGAAAAAAAAATAATGTTAAAGTTTTGGAAATTTGTTTTAGATGTTTTGAGAATCCCAATGAAAGAGGAAAAGGATACTTGTGTGTCTCACTGTTGAGGGCAAATCATCTTTCGTGCTCTTGTCTGCAGGGTACACTCAGTGCTTCCTGCATTTAGTAGACACAAAAAGAGATAAATCCAAATAAACCCTAAATATATAGGGATAAGCCACATTCAAATTCACCCTTCAAAGAGACAATGAAAAAGTTAAGGCAGAAGAGGTGTGGTGTGTCACAGGTAGCCCTTGACTTACAAACACAACAGAGCCCAGGGTGGATTTTTTTTTAATTTAAATCATATTTTTATTTCTTTCAAATGTATTTTAATAAAATGCTTTTGAAGTAAAAATCTATCTAAAAAGAGGTTTTAAGATACATTAATGATTTCGTTTATTCAAGCATGAAATGGAGCTTAGTTATTTAGCATGAGGCTATACATCCAGGGTCTTCCACCTTGGCATGTTTAAGGCTCGCGTACTTCAACTCCCAGAATTCCTGAGCTAACATGACTGGAGGAGGAGGAGGAGGAATTCTGGGAGCTGAAGTCCACAAGTCTTAAAGCCGACAAGGCTGAGGACCCCTGTGTTAGCTTATAATCAGAAACACTGGTTTTGAATTTAAATGTGGCCCTGGGAGCGTGGCACTTCTGTAAATGGGCTTTGTGGCCTGTTTGCTACCCCTTTGCCCTAACCTCCAGCTGCACATGCCGGTAAGAGAGAGACTCACAAAAGACACACACGCACACACCCCCTCAAGACCCCCCACAGTTTCTCCTTGGCTCCTTTTTCTGGCCCTGCCAAAGAGAAACTGGGCTGCCCAGGATGAGCCACGCGGTGGCGGTAGAGCCCCACGCTGGCCAGCCGGCTGCCTTTTGGGCTTCCGTCCAGCCTGGCTGAGCCAGGGAGGCAGAAGGGGGGGAGGTGGATCTTGTTTGTCGGGCTTGGAGGTGGCAGAGGGCCAGGTTGGGCTGCTTCCCTCTGGAAGGGAGGGGCTGCTGGGTGGGGAGAGGCCCCTGCCCTAAAAAAAAGAAAAAGAAAAAAAAAGAACGGGTGTAGGAGACGTCAGCTGCTGCTTGCAACTGGAGAGGTCCTTCCCCCTCCCTGGAGGAAGACGGGGCCAGGGAGCAGATTCTTGGAGGGGGTGGAGGGGGGAGGAGGAGGCCTTCTCTGCAAAACACGACAAGGCTGACCTCGAGGTGCCGCGTTTCATTTATTCTGGCCGCCTGGCCTTTCAGCTGTTGCTCCCAGCTAGCTGTCCTGTGATCCAGGATCAGTTCAACACAGTGGCTGACTTGTTTTCGGGCAAGGAACCTCCCTCTGGCCTCTTCTTCCCCCCACCCCACCCCCAACTTCTCTACTGGGCAGAAGATAGAAAA